GAATTTAGGAGCTATTGCTTCTTATTTATTTATTTATTTTAATTTTATTAGTGATGATCTTTACATAGTTGATCAGGGTTGAAAAGGTTGAGGATCAGGGGATAGTGGGTAAGACCCTTGTTTACACATTTTCTTCTTCTTCCCATATATGAGGGGTGAGGGGAATACAAGAGAAGAAACCATACCCAGCTTCCCAACCACCGCATTACCCTTGGGATTGAGGAACTGCCACCTGATGTCATCCCAAGTTCCCCATTGTGGAGCATTTTCTGAAGGTTCTGTTCATGTGTTTTTGATGGTTCTGAAATGCTGCTGATATTACTGCTCCACGGATGAAGAAATCTTTTTGAGGTCAACTGGCTGCCATAGTCCGCATCTGAGTCTCCACTGGCCCAGAAATTTGCTGTCAAGCTTCACTGGGATAGTTGATCAATTTGTTCTGCCCTCCATCCTCAGCAAGCCAGTGGGTGCTGCGGCCCAGTTCAGCCTTGCCTAACACACACTCGGCTCTCGACCCCCAGTAACCCCCATTGGACCAGCCCTCCCAGCTCTCGTTGCTGTGCCTGCCAGCATGTGCTGTGGACTGACCCAGTTTGCCCCACATCCTACTGAGATCTTGTATGCATTATTGGGCATTGAAGCCTAACACAACCCAACTGAGTTCACCCTCCAGCCCACACTCATGCCAGTGGGTACCACCGCCTGCCCCCAGTCCTGGTTCTCATGCTCACCAGTGGGAGTTGCAACCCATCAGAGAGGAGCCCACAACTTCCCCACTGGACCTACTCCTCGCCCTGAATCTCACAGTATCCATGTGGTTTTATGGTCTAGCATGACAACACTTGCCAGCTGATACTGCAGCAAAGCCCAACCTACCTGCCCTTATTCTGGTTCATGCCTATACCAGTGGATACAGTTGGCTACACCAGCCTGGCTCTACCCCAACCCAGTTCACATGTAGGCCAATAGGTGTTATAGCCCTGGTCTGCCCCCAGTTCCATGCTCTCACGCTCACCAGCATGAATGGTGGCCCAACATCAGAGTCCCCACTACTCCCCTACTAGGCTCAACCCCTTGTTCCAGTCATGCGTGTGCTAGTAGGTGCTACAGCTCAGTCTAGCATAGCCCATGTCACCTCTGTATTTGCCAGTGGGTGCTGTAACCTGGCCTGGCTCAGTCTGCTCCCATATCAACTCATGCTTGTTGGAGCTGCCACACAACCCGGTGCAGTCAACCCCCCAGTCCCAATCCTAATGTGAACTGGCTAGTGATGTGGCCAGACCCAGCCCATCCTGCACCCTGTCTGGGTTCTCACATCTGCCGGTGGGTGTTAGGAACTGGCCCAGCCTGGCCCACCCCCATACCTGAGCCACACCTTTGCTCGCAGGTATTGTAACCTGGTCTACTCTGGGCTGCTCTTTGCATTGATTCTTATGCTTACCAGCAGGGACTACATCCTGACAAAGGAGTTCCCCAAGCTCCTCTATGGGGTCTCCTCTTAGTGGCAGATCTCATGCACACCTGTGGGTCCTTGGTCCTGCTAGTCTACCTCCTCTCCTGGCAGGAGCAGTAGCCTTGCCCAACTGGCCCATATCTGATTGAGCTAGCCAGGATCCACAAACTGGCCCATATCTAATCTGGTTCTTACTATTGGGTGCTACAGCCCAACCACACATAGTTCATGCCCTGACACAGCTCTTATGTGGACCAGGGGGAGCAGAATCCTCACACAACCTCTGGCTCTCACAAACACCAGTGGATGCTGGAGTCTAGTCCAATCTGGTATGCCCCAGAGACTGTCCATGCCCATGCTGAGGGACACTGCAGCCATGTTCAGTCCAGACCACCCCCATTCTTGCTCTCATGCTCACCAGTGGGAACCACAACCTAGCTGGGGTGGCCCTTAATGTCCCCAATCAGGCCTGTTCCCAGCCCCAGATCTTGTGCACGTCAGTGGTTGCTCCGACCTAGCTCTGCATAGACCTTTCCCTATCTTGACCTTTGCCATTGGATGCCGTAGCCTGGTTTGCCCTGGCCCGTATCTAGTCCCAACTCTCACTGGTGAGTGCTACAGCCTAGCCATGCTCAGTCTGCTCCCATCCATGACACATGCAAACCAGCAGGTGTGATAGCCTAGCCATGTGTGCCCCACATTCTAGCCTAGCTCCTGCACTTACCACTGAGCTAAGGTTGGCCTGGTCCTGCCCAGTCCATCCCCTTCCAAAATCACCCTACATGCATGTGGACAGTTGGATCTACCCTCCTGGTATGACCAACACCTAGGCTTGAGTTCCATGCTCATGAGCAGGATCAATAACCCATCAGGCGAGTTTCCTTAGTTCCCCCACTAGACCCACTCTCAGATCCACAGCTCACCTATGCCAGTGGGTACTAGACCCTTACCGGTTCATAGACTACCCCCCTCTGTCCTGCATATGTATGAGTGGTGGGTGTTGTGGCCCGGCTGCCTCACCACCATATTCTTGGGTGTGTATGCGGGTGCTGTAGCCTGGATTAATCCAGCCTGTACCCAACCCTACCTGTACCAAACCCCAGTACCCATGACTGTTGGTAGTTCCATGGTCATACCTAGCTCAGCCTGTTACCACCCTCAACTCCAAGCGAACCAAGTGAGATTGTAGATCAAAGGGGTGGGCCCACACATCCCCCACAGAATCTGCCCCCAGACTCAGTTCTTTTGTGTGCTGGTTAGTGCCATGGCCCAGCCTAGCATTATCGGTCTCCTGTTTTGACTCTCGTTGACAAGTACTGTGATCTAGCCCTGCCAGGTAGGCCCCCAGCCTTAGCTTTAGTGTGCCACAGTGAGTGGTATTCAGCATTGGCCATTACTAACTACCCCAGTTCTGCTATCCCTCTGGGGCAGCTGTGTCAGTCTGAACCCTAACAGTCCATGTGTTCCCCCTTCAAGATACCACCCGGCCTGAGCCCCGCCACCTGGAAGCTGAGAGGCAGGGCTGGCCTGCGCACTCTGGCTCTGAGCAGCCTTCAGGCTGATTGGCTCAGGCCTCCCTCCAGGCCCAAGTCATATCCAGGGACAACTGGACCCACCCGGCTCCAAGCCTGTGGCTGGCCGAGGGGCCTTGACCTCCCGGCTGGAGCCCTGCTGCCTGGGAGCTCTTCCATATTTATTTTGAACATCAAGTTTTATTTGCTGTAAGTGAAATCTAATGATATACTGGACCAAAATCTCATGGCTCCAGACTCAATCATAATGCTAAGTGTATATATCAGGTATCCTGTGAAGGATATCAAGGTAAATAAGGAATATACTTGATTTTGAAAAGGAACATACTGGGACTAAATGAAAGTGCCCACTACTGAGTATTTTAGTATTTTTACCTTTTTCAGTTTGAAGTAGAAAGGGATTTTTCAGCCTGAAAATCTTGTAACCCTCTGAAATTATGGAGAATATCTTGGTTCTACATAATGGAACTTTTACGTTTTTCTTTTTTTCTTTTAAAATATTTATTTATTTTAATTAAAAAGGCAGATCATATTTACAGAGAGGAGAGACAGAAAAAGATCTTCCATCAGCTGGTTCACTCCCCAAATGGCTGCAATGGCCAGAGCTGTGTCAGGAGTCAGGTCAGTTGAGGCAGATTAGGAGTCAGGAATTCTCTCTAGGCCTCCCATGCAGGTGCAGGGTCCCAGGGCTTGTGACTGTCCTCTACTGCTTTCCCAGGCCACAAGCAGGGAGCTGGATGGGATGTGGAGCATCCGGGACATGAACTGGCATCCACATGGGATCCCAGTGCTTGCAAGGTGAGGATTTAGACATTGAGCCATCGTGCCTGGCCCCAGAATGTTTTTCTTAAAACTCACATGAACAAAAGTGCTAGCATTTAGATATGGTTTCCCTGGGGCACTGGATAGCATATTCATTTCCAAACACGATTTATTGCATAGTCAATGCAATATTCTCAAGTCATAGCTCCCAGGAGACCCAAGATACTATAAGCAAATACCAAATAAGCTAACAATGTTAGTACTTACTTTGCTAAGAACTATGTGGTATAGGGGGTCCAAGCAACTTTGGAGCACCACCATCTGTGGTTGGGAGTTATTATTTCCTTATATATCCCTGTAAGTGTTGAATAGGAGCTTTTGTCCTTTGGGACCTGCAAAAGGACTTTGTCACCATAAGAACCCCCTTGTTTCAGTGGCTGTCACCAAAGAGTTGTTACAGGGCTCGGCAGGAGTACCTGTGGTTGTACCAAGAGGTGGATAGGACCCTTTTGTTCAACTGCTTGTGGATGTTCCTGGGCACAGTTGACACCGCCTCCAGCCTTGCCCTGGGTGTCTGGCAGGGATCATCATGCTACTACTTGATAAACCCTACATGCTCACTACCTTATCTGATCCCTTGGAAAGTTCCGTGCGCAAATATAGTCGGCCTCTCAAAGATGACAAGACTGAGCTTTTGAACAACAGATCTGTTAGAAGCCTGACTGATCCTCTAGCTTCTTAAGTGCCTTCATTGAACTCACAAGCTCACTGACCAGTTTAATTGCTTATCATGTATTATTCTCTGGTTTTAGGTTTGCTTTAATTATCACGACAAACATAATCCACATCTTTTAAGAAAAGGTGGAGAAGAATAAGCAAAGGAAAAAAAGGGAATCAAATGGAAGAGCCAGAGGATGAGGACTGGGGAGGCTGCAGGATAAGTAGGCAGCCCTGCTCACTAACCTGGTTACACCTGCCAACATATGGCAATGCCCTTCTTCCCACCCCTGGCATATCAGTGACAGGCAGGGGCCCAACCGGCAGTTGGTGGAACTCTTTTCTAAGTACTGGAGAACGCCTCTCAGTCACCATTCACAAGGTGTGCTACTTTTCATGGTGCAAACGTTGAGGGTTTTCTCAATGCAAAATTGCAGTGTGTCCACCTTCAGACATAAATTGCACTATAAAGACTGGCTGTCAGCACATCAGCGATTCTGCCAACGTTTTTATTATTATGTTACAAGGTACATGCGCGAGGGTGCAGATCCTCTACCAAGAGGCAGGCGCTGCAGTTGGATGAAAGGCTTTGCTGATCGGAAGTGCGACACCTAAAGCGAAGCATCTGCTTAAGGTTGAAGCCCAGGGAAAGTGGGGCTGGTAGCATTCTCAGTGGAGAGCGCAGAGCAGAACGCCAGGCCTCTGGCGCTACAGGTAGGGGACGTCGTGCAAGCCCCTCTGGCCCCTCCCTCCTCCCCGCACGCCCCGCACGCCCCGTTGGCCCCGAGGGGTGAAGGGATCCTGAACCTCTCTAGGCACCCAGTGGAAACCGCCCATTTTCTGCTTTTTCCGCAGCTCCTCCTGCGCCCTGGACACGTCGGCGCACTCGCTCAGCATCTCCTCGCTGCTGGCATGCCGGTCCTGGAAGTCCTCCTGGCACTCCCTGGGGGAGTCGTCCGTGCCCCGGTCCGTTTTCCGTTTGGCTTTGCGGGGCACGTAGTCTTCGGCCGGGCGCTTCTCAGCGGCGCGCCGCTCGCTCTCGGGCGGCGCCGCGGGGGCTGCGGGCTGGCCCTGGGTAGGGGGCTGGCCCGCCCCGGACGCCCGACCCTGCTTCTCAGGCTGGCCCTCCTTGACTGCTCGGCTCTCAGCGCCCGGCGCGCCCTGGTCCCCTAGCTGTCCCTCGCTCTTCCCCTTGCCCTCCTCCTCCCACTTGGCTTCCTCGTCTGACTTGTCTTCATCTTCTGGCTCCACTTCATCTGCTGGCTGTCCCTCGTTTTCCAGTGGTCCCTCGTTTTTATGGCGGGCTGTTTCCATGTCCAGATGCCCCCTTCTCCTGGGCTGGAGGCAGGGGCAGAGGGGAGGAGACAAAGAAACACAGGGAAGACTCAGGAGGTGGGGACACACGGCAGGTGCACATCCAACTTGTATCCCGCTCCCTGGAGGAGTGTGTGTATGGGGGGGGGGCTTAATTCAGGTGTGCCCTCTGCCCACTCCTTGCCCCTCATGTCTGAGCCACCAAGGGCCTGGCAGGCGCTGCCACCTGCTCCAATCCATCTCAGTGGGACAGGACTCCTGAATGGTGGAGAGGGGGCTCAGGTGGCGGGACCCGCATTTGGCCCAGACAGGGCCCTGCTCACCAGAGACTCTTCTGGGTCTCCTCCAGGCCTCCCCCTGTCACTGACCTGCAGGGGGTCCTCACAGGTTGCTCCTGCTCTCCGGGCTTCAAGAGGTGCTGGGAACCAATGACGTGCAGACCTGCAGGCAGGGCACAGGGGCAGGGGCTGCGCGCTCCGTGGTCCCGTGAGGCCTCGGTCCTGGGCAGAATCCGAGCCTCCTCACCCTATGCCTCCCTCCTCTGCCTCCCCGCACCCCAGCCGCCATTTCTGTCCAAGCCGCAGGAGACAAACAGGGATGCTGGCCCAGCTCCGGGTGGCGCCGGTGCCTCCTCTGCAGGCAGCGCCTGCGCCACCGCTCACTTTTCGCCCAGGTCGGGTGCGTCTTCAGAGGCGCAGAGGCTGCGGGGTCTCGTCCGCAGGATGCCTGCGTTTCACTGTCGCACTGCGGGGCTCCCCCCTCCCCCCAGCCTGCCGCCAGGGGCGGGGGGGCGGGGACCAGAAGGCTGCTTCCCTGGCGTTAAGGGCCCCCGCTCCCCCTCCCCCCCGTGCCACTTGCTCTGTCGCCCCCTCCTCCCGACGTCCCGATCCTTCCTTGGTCAGGGATCCCGCTGCTGCCACCTGCACCGTGTCCCGGGTCCGCGCCAGTGCTGGCCTCCACACTGACCTGCGGGCACGCGGGACAGGCCTGCACCTCCTCGGGGGCTTGCGCCACTCGCCCCACAGCCAGAGCAGCTCCGCTAGCAGATTCTGCGCGGGCGCCGGGCACTGGACCGCAGGGCAGGCAGTTGCGGGGGCTGGTGCCCACGTCGGCGCCCAGCCCGTCACGTGAGCGTCGCGTCACCCTAGCTCGCCCCCCATCTCCGCCCCGCTTGACCCTCTTCATAGTCCCCACCTCACAGGAAGTGGATGCGGACGGTGGCAGCGTGTTGTAAGGGTAAGGGGCGTCACCTAGAACTCAAGGGGAGGCTTTCTGATCCCAGGTGCTTAACCTAGCCCATCTCCCAGAATCTTAGACGCCCATTGTTGCCACACATCACAACTGAACCAAGACAGTACCCGACTTTGTCTAGTGCCCTCAACTCCTGAACTGCACAGGTTACTTTCTCACCCAGCTCTGCCCTACTCTGGAGCCCTGGCATGGTGTTACCGAGGAAACTATTTGTATACCAATTTGAATTCTGGAGGATTTTACCCTGAGTTTATCTGGCTGGTAGAGCGCGTCCATCTACCTCCATAATGTGTAAAAAGTATTTATTTTTTATTTAAAGATTTACAGAGAGAAGGAGAGACAGAGAGAAACATCTTCCATCCACTGATTCATTCCCCAAGTGACCACAATGGCCAGAGCTGAGCCGATCCGAAGCCAGGAACCCAGAGCCTCTTCAGGGTCTCCCACACAGGTGCAGGGTCCCAAGGCTTTGGGCCTTCCCTGACTGCTTTCCCAGGCCACAAGCAGGGAGCTGGAAGGGAAGTGGGGTAGCTGGGATACTAACCAGGTCCCATATGGGATCCTGGCGCATGTAAACCAAGAACTTTAGCCACTAGGCTACTGAGCCAGGGCCGGTTCTTTTTTTTTTTTTTTTTTTTTTGTTAAGGTTTATTTTCTTTGAAGGGCAGATACAGCTCGAGAGACAGAATGAGAGAGAGAGAGAGAGAGAGAGAGAGTTCCATCTGATACTTCACTTCCCAGATGGCCACAATGGCCAGAGCTTAGCCAATCCAAAGCCAGGAGCCAGGAGCTTCTTCCAGGTCTCCCATGTGGGGGCAGGAGCACTGACTTGGATCATCATGTGCTGCTTTTCGAAGCCATTAGCAAGGAGCTGGATCAGAAGTGGAATAGCAGGTACATGAACTGATGCCCATATAGGATGTCAGTGCCACGGGGCTGGGCCTAACCATAGTTTGTTTTCAATTTTCTTCTATATGCTACGTGATAATTTTTCCATCTAAATTTCAGTATCAGTTTGAATCAGATCTCTGTTTATCTGTTACACATGTGCACTTGGATATTCCTGGAAGATCTCAAATTCAGGATGTTCCCAAGTGATTTTATCATCCCTCCCCTCTCTTTTCCCTGCACAAAATTGCTCCTTCTTTGTTTTTCTTGAGTTAATGAACACTCGCAAAAAACATACAGGTGCCCAAGTGAGAATCTGGGAAACCTTCCTGATCCCTTCTTCCTCCCTGTCACTAAGGACTTCTGACCTCTTCTAAGCATCTCTGGATCTTTTCACTTCTCTCCTGTTTCCACTCTTGTTACATATCTTCAGACAATCAGCTCCCCTCTTCTGCTTGGTAGGAGCAGGTCTCTTTCTCATTTCATTACCTCAGGTCTTGTTCTTCTTTAATTTAATCATCTTTTGAAATATATGTAGTAGGTTAAGCCTCCACCTGCAGTGCCGGCCTCCCATATGGATACCAGTTTGAGTCCTGGTTGATCTGCTTCTAAGCCTGCTCTGACCATTACAGCCATTTGGGGAGTGAACCAGAAGACAGAATGTGTCGCTCTCTTTCTGAAAATCTATCTTTCAAGTAAAAATAAATAAATCTTTTAAAATATGAAATATTCTATATCACCTTGCCTTTTTCTGCTTCATCTTCATTATAACCCTTGAAGTAGGTGTGTCATTGACAATTTATCTCTTGCACAGAAATCACTGTACACAACAGCTTCAAAAGAACCTTGTCCTTACCCTATTATTTCAAATTAACTTTTAGCACTTATTGAAAATTTAAGGTAAAGTTTGGATTTTGACGTAGTTGAGAATTGGTTGATATTTAGACTTTTTTAAAGACAGATTTTATTTTAATTGAAGGTCAGAGTTAGAGATCACTCTTTCATCGGATGGTTCTCTCCTCAGATAACCACAATGGCCTGGACTGGGTCAGGCCAAGGGCAGGATTCAGGAGCTCTGTCCAGGTCTTGCACATAGATGGCAGGGGCACAAGCACTTGAGCCATTTTCTGTTTTTCCAGGCTATTAGCAGGAAGGGAAGTAAAGCAGCTGAGATGCTACCAGCTCTCATATAGAAATCGACATTGTAGGTGGCAGCTTTACTTGCTACGTGCCAACACTGGCCTCTGGGATGATTTGATCTTAACACAGTTATTGATTGTATTTACCTCTCTGCATTAGCCTACTCTCCATTACAGTAACAGAATCCCTGAGGCAATGACTAACTACATATAAAACAGTTTTATTTTGGCTTACAGAGATGGAGCGTCACACTCCAAGATCAAACAGAGCTTGTCAGTCTGGCCTCTGCTAATGGCCTTCTTGCTGGCAGAGTCCCAAAGTGGCATAGTGCTTCACAAGCAAACAAGAAATGTGTTCGTTTCTCTGTGTCATCATCTTCTTGTGAAAAACTTGCAGGATTCAGTGCAAGGAGTTTCACCCTAATGGATTAATTCAATCTAGTCACTTCCCAAGGGCCACACCTCTAAATGCTGTAATTAGAATGAGTTTCCACTCACTTATGTGCCATTCATGTAATACCTTGGGGATCAAATTGCTGTATATATTCAGGAGAATAAATAGTCAACCAATGGTGTCCTCTTAAGAGAGCTTATAATATTGAACAGGCAAAGCAGTGTAGGACTGGTCCAAAAATAGAAATACAGTGGAAAAACAGAATGATCTACATTCCCAGGTCTTAATGAATATTTAATATATGAACAAGGTAGCATTTCAACCTAGTGCCAAAAAATCTGCCTACTCAATGTAGTAGTTTCTGCTCTGACTAAATTCATGTAAGCACCACAACCAAGGCCTTGAAACAAGGAGAGATACTTCATCTTCATGACCATTCTTATCATTAGAATTGATGAATTTTTATGTTTGTAACATTACATGGTTACCATAAAATATACACTATTTTAACATATACACATTTCATTATTTGCTGTGGCAATCAAGAGCTAAAATCCAAGCATTTCCACTTGTAAGTATGTAAATTTGGAAAAGTTCATAAAACCCTGTAAGTTTTAGTTTCCCTCCTTGGGAAATGGCAACAATATTATTAGTGTGAGATGATTATTATGAATTCTAAAAGGTGGTTTTATACCACATGGAGCTTATCATCATTAACAAATGTTCATGCCTTCCAACCTCACCTTAATCCTCTGTTAAAGACGTAACTCTGTAATAACAGTTACATAGTATCAGAAGTGTCATTTGGAAATGAAATCAGATAAGTTGTACTAGATATAATACAAATGAATTCCAATAACAGCAAATGCTTATTGGGATATGAGGAGAAAAATACAGTGCCTTCTCAGTGGCTCTTTTTGCTCTGTTATTTTTCCATCTAGATGATCATCTGGGAATCACAGGTATGGAAATACAGAAACACAAGGCATTGTGGGTGTTGCTTCTTAATAGTCAAAATACTAGTTAGGGACCTCTCTGAGTCTCCATAGACTGAGCCATCATTGCTGTATCTTTGATCAATCACTTCCCACATGCTGGCTTTCTCTCTGAAATACGATGAAAGGATGATAGGTCCTCCCAGCTGACACGCAATACAAGGCCATCCTAATGCTCTTGTACATACATTGGGAAAAAGCTAACCACAGAGAAACAGTACTGGTCTTCTAGAGAACTTTGCATTATTTAGTGGCCACCAGGTGCCCCACGGGGGCAGAAGGCCTATATAGAACAACGGGATATACCAAGTATCTTCTCACTAGTATGTGAGATATGGATTCTTTGGCACAAGA